AGCGCTGTGTGCAGAGCTCGCTGGGTATATAGCGCTGCGTGCAGAGCTTGCTGGGTATATAGCACTGTGTGCAGAGCTTGCTGGGTATATAGCGCTGCGTGCAGAGCTGACTGGGTGCTAGGTATATAGCCCTGCGTGCAGAGCTCACTGGGTGCTGGGGATATAGCGCTGCGTGCAGAGCTCACTGGGTGCTGGGGATATAGGGTGCTGCACGCAGAGCAACATGGGTGCTGGGGATATAGTGTGCTGCACGCAGAGCAACATGGGTGCTGGGGATATAGTGTGCTGCACGCAGAGCAACATGGGTGCTGGGGATATAGTGTGCTGCACGCAGAGCAACATGGGTGCTGGGGATATAGTGTGCTGCACGCAGAGCAACATGGGTGCTGGGGATATAATGTGCTGCGTGCAGAGCAATATGGGTGCTGAGGATATAGTGTGCTGCACGCAGAGCAACATGGGTGCTGGGGATATAGTGTGCTGCGTGCAGAGCAACATGGGTGCTGGGGATATAGTGTGCTGCATGCAGAGCTCACTGGGTGTATAATGTGCTGCGTGCAGAACTCACTGGGTGCTGGGTATATAGCGCTGCGTGCAAAGCTCACTGGGTATATAGCGCTGCGTGCAGAGCTCGCTGGGTGGATAATGTGCTGCATGCAGAGCTCACTGGGTGCTGGGTATATAGTGCTGCGTGCAGAGCTCGCTGGGTATATAGCGCTGCGTGCAGAGCTCGCTGGGTGTATAATGTGCTGTGTGCAGAGCTCACTGGGTGCTGGGTATATAGCGCTGCGGGCAGAGCTCACTGGGTGCTGGGGATATAGCGCCGCATGCAGAGCTCGCTGGGTATATAGCGCTGCGTGCAGAGCTCACTGGGTGCTGGGGATATAGCGCTGCGTGCAGAGCTCACTGGGTGTATAATGTGCTGCATGCAGAGCTCACTGGGTGCTGGGTATATAGTGCTGCGTGCAGAGCTCGCTGGGTATATAGCGCTGAGTGCAGAGCTTGCTGGGTATATAGCGCTGCGTGCAGAGCTCGCTGGGTATATAGCACTGCGTGCAGAGCTTGCTGGGTATATAGCGCTGTGTGCAGAGCTGACTGAGTGCTAGGTATATAGCCCTGCGTGCAGAGCTCACTGGGTGCTGGGGATATAGCGCTGCGTGCAGAGCTCACTGGGTGCTGGGGATACAGCGCTGCGTGCAGAGCTCACTGGGTGCTGGGTATATAGTGCTGCGTGCAGAGCTCGCTGGGTATATAGCGCTGCGTGCAGAGCTCACTGGGTGTATAATGTGCTGCGTGCAGAGCTCACTGGGTGCTGGGTATACAGCGGTGCGTGCAGAGCTCACTGGGTGCTGGGTATATAGCGCTACGTGCAGAGCTCACTGGGTGCTGGGGATACAGCGCTGTGTGCAAAGCTCACTGGGTGCTGGCTATATAGCGCTGGGTGCAGAGCTCACTGGGAGCTGGGGATACAGCGCTGCTTGCCAAGCTCACTGGGTGCTGGGTATATAGCGCTGCGTGCAGAGCTCAGTGGGTGCTGGGTATATAGCGCTGCGTGCAGAGCTCAGTGGGTGCTGGGTGTATAGCGCTGCGTGCAGAGCTCACTGGGTGCTTGGTGTATAGCGCTGCGTGCAGAGCTCACTGGGTGCTGGGTATATAGCGCTGCGTGCAGAGCAACATGGGTGCTGGGTATATAGCGCTGAGTGCAGAGCTCACTGGGTGCTGGGTATATAGCACTGCGTGCAGAGCTCACTGGGTGCATGGGAAATAGCGCTGCATGCAGAGCTCGCTGGGGATATAGCGCTGTGAGCAGAGCTTGCTGGGTATATAGTGTGCTGCGTGCAGAGCAACATGGGTGCTGGGGATATAGTGCTGCGTGCAGAGCTCGCTGGGTGCTGGGGATATAGTGCTGCATGCAGAGCTCGCTGGGTGCTGGCTATATAGCGCTGGGTGCAGAGCTCACTGGGAGCTGGGGATACAGCGCTGCTTGCCAAGCTCACTGGGTGCTGGGTATATAGCGCTGCGTGCAGAGCTCAGTGGGTGCTGGGTGTATAGCGCTGCGTGCAGAGCTCACTGGGTGCTGGGTATATAGCGCTGCGTGCAGAGCTCAGTGGGTGCTGGGTGTATAGCGCTGCGTGCAGAGCTCGCTGGGTGCTGGGGATATAGCGCTGCGTGCAAAGCTCGCTTGGTGCTGGGGATATAGAGCTGGGTGCAGAGCTCGCTGGGTGCTGGGGATATAGCGCTGCGTGAGAGCTCTCAGAGTGCTTATTAAAGGATTTAATGAGGCAAAACAGGTGCAAACTGATGCAGAGTTCTAATATAGAAAATTATATTGGTTTCCATGGTGATTGCTCCTTGTTTACCTTGTACCCATTATAGCACCTTTTCTTGCCTTGATTATTCTGATAATGTGCAGAATAGAGTGCAAACCTCACAGGCAGAGCAGATAAGGGTCGAGTTCAGAGAATGCACAGCGTGCAGAGCACCTAGTATGCACAGTGTCCAAGGCGCAGAGGGTGTAGCAATCGCAGAGCGCAAAGAATGTGCAAAGTGCCGTCTTGCGCTAACAATAAATGCAGACTGCATGTATCACAGGTTATGAGTGCAGAAGCGGTTACAGCCCTCATAGAATAGACAGAAAACAGAGGGCTAAGTAAAGTTTTAAAGTTATGATGTCATCCATTCGAGTAAGGCGCAGTCAGAAAGCGCACTTAGAGCACACAGTGCATGGACAGGGCGCTGAGTACACAGTGACAGGTGCGTACCATAGAGTGCAGGACACAGGTTACTAGTTTTTAATATAGGGTGCTAGGAATAGAGTTCAAGGAGCCAAACATTGAGTGCAGTGTAGGGTGCAGAGTACGCAGAGTTGTGTATTGTAGGAATAAACCACCATTTGTGTTCCAAAGTGACAATTGTTGAGTATAAGCTGTAGAGTACAGGTGCTAGGGATACAGTGTACTGTGCAGCAAATACATACTAGGCCAGACTAGAGCTTGGTGGGGTGTATGAGAGTAGGAACTTAAAGGAACACTATAGTCACCTAAATTACTTTAACTAAATAAAGCAGTTTTAGTGTATAGATCATTCCCCTGCAATTTCACTACTCAATTCACTGTCATTTAGGAGTTAAATCACTTTGTTTCTGTTTATGCAGCCCTAGCCACACCTCCCCTGGCTATGATTGACAGAGCCTGCATGGAAAAAAAACTGGTTTCACTTTCAAACAGATGTAATTTACCTTAAATAATTGTATCTCAATCTCTAAATTGAACTTTAATCACATACAGGAGGCTCTTGCAGGGTCTAGCAAGCTATTAACATAGCAGGGGATAAGAAAATCTTAATTAAACAGAACTTGCAATAAAAGCCTAAATAGGGCTTTCTTTACAGGAAGTGTTTATGGAAGGCTGTGCAAGTCACATGCAGGGAGGTGTGACTAGGGTTCATAAACAAAGGGATTTAACTCCTAAATGGCAGAGGAATGAGCAGTGAGGCTGCAGGGGCATGTTCTAGACACCAAAACTGCTTCATTAAGCTCAAGTTGTTCAGGTGACTATAGTGTCCCTGTAAATGAGTGATTGGGCAGTGCTGGATTTGATGAAAATGTTTTGTAATTTACCAGAATTTTTTTTTTTTTTTATGCATATTTTCTGTATATTATACATCACAACATCCAGCGTGGGCTGTAAGTGCCCTAATCCTGACACTTTGTAAATTGCTCTAATTAACATGAGGGCAGACCATCTTTTCACCGCTCGATGAAGGATGGGGCCTTTTGAAGAACTGAATGTCTCTTGCTCCTTGTATCGCATTATTGTTGATGTGTGAACTCGAAGCAGACATAGGTCTTTGCAAATCTCTCAGGGTTCATTGTTGGCCTCACATAGACATCCTGGACCAGTTTCCTGCCTGACTCCTAGTTTACAAGGGAGACCTGATCTTTTGAGGCATCACAATAGTGAGACTTGTGGAGAGGGACAATCAGGCATATTGAATTGCGTACTCGTATTGGAGATACAAAACAAAAATGTAATATACCAGCGATACGTGCATTTATTGATTTATTACTGTTATTTATAAAGCGCCAACAAATTCCGCAGCGCTGTACAATTGGGAAAAAGACAATACAATAGGAACATACCGATACAGCAGGTAGACGGCCCTGCCCGTGAGCTTACAATCTAAAGGTTCACATGTTAAGATGTTGTAATAGAGTTTACAATATCTATCATGTTTTCCTGGACATGTATCACAAATACACATTTAAGGATAACCAAAATGTGAGTATTCAGGAATTTACAGTGAATTTCAAATTTAAGGGCAATCTAGCTGAAGTGTAAAATATAACTAATTGGATTTTTTTTACATTTTGGTTATTGAGGTTTAAGATTTAAAAATGTACTTTTATTGACTCTTCAGTGAACTCCGGTCGAGCAGTTCCCAGCAAGTGCCGATGTCATACCGATAGTGACGTCACGACCCGCCAAAATGTTAGAACACGAACATTTTGGGGGTGTGACTTTTAATTTAAAGTACCAGCCTATTAAAGGCTAGTTCAAACTTAGATCCTTGCCTTGTTGTGGTCCTAGTTTAGTTCCCAATAGCGCGTTTTGTTCTGATTGTTTCTTTTGGTATCTCGCTCTTGTCCTTGACTCAACCTTTGCACCTTGTTTATTCTGCTTTTCTGGTTCCCTGACTCGGCTTGTCTCTCGTTAATGTACCTTCTTGATTCCTTGATCTTGGCTTGTCTTGACTTTTCTCATCCTATTAAGTTAATCCGGCCATTCTAAGGTCCGGTATACGTACTCTTTACACCTTGCGTGTTGGGTGTCTCAGGAATCCTGACAATAACCCTGTAAAGTATGCTTGCACTCTAAATTGGTAATATGTAGATATAGATATGTCTGGTTTTTATTACATGGTGTCATAGAGACCATCTGACTGGCACAGTTCAAAATTTTGCAACGCATGTGCTCTAGTCCCACAATGCTTTCTTATGGGGAAGCTTTGGATTGTCTTGTAGCGGAATGGATGCTATAGCGACACGTTCATTTTCCTTTTGTGAGGCAGTCTATATGGCTCCTTGCGTTTCCAAAATCAACTCTGTGTGATCCCCTTGTTTGCACCATTCAATTACCAACCGCCCCAGGCTGTTAACCACAAATTGGTTATTAGTTCAAGTGTTCCTTGTGTGACCACTGTTCGTATAACCGAACGCACATGTTCAAACAATTGGCGGCCATCTTGTCTCCCGATTGCGGGCAACGGTACATGGTCATCGACGGCGTGGAACTATTTTCTGCTACACGACCCTGCGAACACCTGGTAAACTGGTACCGTTGCCCATCCAACTTCCCGAACAATTATGAGAATGGTCAACGGGAGGCATAAACTACCAAACAGGGGGAACATTCGTACACTAACAGCCAGTGTTCGTGTGAGAACCCTCGAAAGATGACCAGTCGTTGCCTTGTTTTCTCTGGAACTGTTTTGGGGCATCACCTCATGGCCGACCGGTCAAAACGTCATTCGAATGGCGTTCCTGAACCAACGAAGAGATATGAGTGGTATTTTGGCAAAGCGTGCGCTCAGATCCAAGCTATTCGGTGATGTGACTTTCGTGGGGTTCTAAAGTTATTAAAATGTATTTTTGGATGTTTTAAAATATTGTAGATTTTTCTGTACCTGAGAGATAATTGAGTTGTAGTTTTTTCTCACGCAATTATCTCTCAGGCACAGAGGATCTTTGGGGGTTAGTGCATAAAAGCCGTGCGTGGCCAGAATAAACTCAGTTGACTCCCAGGACTATGTGTCGTCTAGTTGCTGCGGGGAAAGTGTTATGGATTATTATACTGCTTATTTCAGCTACGAGGACCTACTAGTGGAGATACCTATGCTAGGTATTGGAGCTCCGCTACATGGCTGAAATCATCACTCTTGATGATCTCCGCTATGGAGGCGGAATGGCAACTTGGAGACCAGCATTGCGCTGCAGAAAGGTAAGTTAAACTTTTTTTCCTCGGACTGGGTTTTTGGACACATTAATGGCTAACAATGCACTATAGTGGTAGTAATACAAATTTCTGCAAATACAAATCGATCCCCCCTTCTCCAAAACCTGCTCACAGAATCTGCCCATTACTTATAGGTTACATTTCTGAGTTATTTCTTATAGGCCACATATAATTAAGAGTTGGACAGTCATTGCGGAGGTAAAATCAAGGTAGAAGAAGAGTTACCAGGAATATTGGCAAACCTATATAATCCAAATTATGTAATATTTATCAAACCTAGAGCAAAGTGCTAGATTTGGAAACACTACCTACCATATTAACATGGATGCACAAATTAAGGACCACATACAGGCCTGGCTTTTTAAATAAATCCATTCATATAGGTCTTACCCACCTGTGTTCAATCAGAGCTATCCAGACAGTGAGGCCTATGTGAGCTAATCATGTTATGAATGGGGTATTTAAAGCAACAGTGAGTGAGTTACAGAGCTCTTTGAATTTATCTTGCACCGGGGAGCAGGTCATAATTTTATACTATCTCTGCTTTAATACAATTGCACTTTGATGAAGCCTAGTGGGAAAAACTTGGCAGGGGGAATTAGGCAGCAGACTTCTACTTAACAACAGAACAGTATTTCAGACAAAATGTAAAACCACCTGGATTCAGCAGGTGTGCAAATGTTTGAACTATTTACACAAATTTGTTATAACTGAGTTTTAGGTACTTTATTTGAGGGCCGTGTGTGTATATATAATATATAAATCATTTTTTTTTTTTTTTAAACCGACCTTAAAAGAATTGTAGAGCATTGCACATTTTAGACCAAAATGGCTAAGATTAGAGATAATAAATGGAGATTTTTTTTTTTTTACCAAATTCAGCTATTTTTGGTGATTTGGCCTGGAATTTGCTATCTCCTGGTCCATTTTCCAGAATCCCAAAGGAAAATAAGCAGAACGTTTGGAGCCTATTTAACATGTATTTGACTAAGTTCTTAGTAGAATAGGACAGCATTATTTTGGGACAGAGGGAAATGCTTTCTGCCTATGCACACAGTGATAATAAATAAGTTGCAGCCACAGCACTCAGCACACACAGATAATCACACAGAGATATAGACAACACAGCTTTCAGCACTTGTACATTCAGACACATACAGGGTGACCCCTCCTAAGCTCCAGCCTGTCTGGGTCCAGCACAGTCTGCCACTTCCTCCAGCGTGAGAGCAGAGACACGGCTCACAGCAGGGCATAGGCTGGAAGGAGTAGAGCCCTGGGTATGTACTGGCACGTTGGCACGAAGCAGATAAAGTCTGCCCCTAAGTAATTGTGCAGCGTACCAGCGTTTTGTAAACTAAACGAGCTGTCGTCTCCCTCACACAAAATCTCATGTACATCTCTGACAACAATATTCCACAGTAAAATGAAAAACTCCCCTTTATATTACGGGTGCTTCAATTATTGTAGAACTGCAGCTCTAATGGTAGTCTTTTAGAATGTAAGCTTGTTCGAGCAGGGCCCTCAGCACATTATGTTCCTAAATGTCTAACTATGTGTTTTTGTAGTCCATCTATTGTACAGCGCTGTGGAATTTGTTGGCATTTTATAAATAATAATAATCACTACCACCCATTGCTGACAAGGAAGAGTGTAACCTCTGTTTTAGCCTTACCTCAAATGTGGGCCTGATGGCGGAGACACCAGAGACCCTCATTCAGTATTAAACTCTTTAAAAAGGTTGAAGTGTGAGCTGACCCCAGGCACCATAACGACTTAAATTAGATGAAGTGGTTATGGTGCCTATAGTGTCCCTTTAAGGCAGCGATGGCGAACCTATGGCACACGTGCCACAGTTGGCACGCAGCCATAGGTCACCGGTTGGTAGTCTTATGCCCCCCCGGCGGCAGGCACCTACTCTGCTTTCGTGTTGTTGGTGGGTAGGTGGGATGCAGTGGCGGATCCAGAGGTGGGATGCAATTGCAGGGTTTAAATGACTCTAGTGGCTGTCATACTGAAAGCTAATAATGGCGCCCTCGTCAAAATATTTAAATTTAGATGCTCAATTTCAATCAGATGCATACTATCCTCTCATCGTTTTCTATGGGAAAGCATTTGATTGGCTGAGATTATTCAGTTGTCTCGGAGTGCTTGCCTATCCTAGTTTTATGAAGGGCAAGGATTTGCTGCCCCCTCAAAATGCGTCTTCACTTGTGTGTCTCTTAACCCCCCTTTCGAATGTATTACCTCCTATAGTGTACAACCCCCTTCTGAGTCCTACACCCCCTTTATCTTATGCCCTTTTTCCCCTCCTTGTGCATCTTACACCTTTAGTGTATCTTATCCCCCTTTGGGTGTCGCTTACAACCCCCGTGTGCACCTTTTGTATATCATGTACTTCCTATCTTTGTGTGTTTCTTACCCCTATCAATATATGGAATTCTCCCCCAACCCCATTGTGTGTCTTTTACCCCCCGCCCCTGGCATGCCTGCTTACCTCCTGCTGTAGCGTGGCCTCACAAACGTCATCATACATGCAGTGATTGGCAGTAGGGGGCAGCACTGTGCTCCTCCCTCCAGTAGATCATCAGGCCACAGTGCACCCTATATATGCTAAAATGTAGCAAATTCCAAATTGTCGGAAATTCAAAGCAATTTTTTACATTTGTTGCAAATATACCCGAAATTCTCCAAGTCAACTATTTTGGACTAAAAATGTGAATTTCTTTTGAATTCCCTACAGGTAATTAAGAACCCTGTCAGTAAATATTTGTACTAAATTGGTGCTTTTTTCTCCTCTAAACTTTACAGCTGTCAGGCAGGCCTCACCCATAATGGGTTCTTCATCTGCCACTTTAATTGCAGTCATATGTAGTATTTACAATCCAAGTGTGGCTGCAATGTGTCGGGAGGCTACCTTATTTCACACTGATCACATTTTCCTCAGAGACAGTGAACTAGGATTTTCCCACTTGTCTGGTACTCGTCACATGGCTGGTCAAAAACATTGCAAAGTCTCTCTTTAACTATACACGTTCAGGCAAACTATACACAGCGAGGTCTGCTACATAATATGGTACCCCAACTCATAGAGGGAAGCCTGGTGTACACAACTGGGCACAGACTGGTAGGTTACACAATGCATAACTGTTATAAAATATATATTTATATACAGAGACAAGTAGACAATTGTGGAGTGGCTAGTACAAACAGCTGGTCACAGAATGGACCTACTATATACAGTTAGGCCCAGACTGCTATAGAGGCCTGGTATATACAACTAAGCTAATCGCAGACTGCTATAGAGGCCTGGTATATACAGCTAAGATAATCGCAGACTGCTATAGAGGTCTGGTATATACAGCTAATTGCAGACTGCTATAGAGGCCTGGTATATACAGCTAATCGCAGACTGCTATAGAGGCCTGGTATATACAGCTAATCGCAGGCTGCTATAGAGGTCTGGTATATACAGCTAATCGCAGGCTGCTATAGAGGTCTGGTATATACAGCTAATCGCAGACTGCTATAGAGGTCTGGTATATACAGCTAATCGCAGACTGCTATAGAGGTCTGGTATATACAGCTAAGCTCATCGCAGGCTGCTATAGAGGTCTGGTATATACAGCTAATCGCAGACTGCTATAGAGGTCTGGTATATACAGCTAATCGCAGACTGCTATAGAGGTCTGGTATATACAGCTAAGCTCATCGCAGGCTGCTATAGAGGCCTGGTATATACAGCTAATCGCAGACTGCTATAGAGGTCTGGTATATACAGCTAAGCTCATCGCAGGCTGCTATAGAGACCTGGTATATACAGCTTGCCAAGATTGGTATTGGTATCTTCTGTAATCCATATCCTATGCTGAATTGGTGACTACACTTTTTATTGAATACATTTTTTATTATTGAACCCTGACCTGTGGATGTCTTTTGGTGGAATAAGGATCCAGAGGTGATAAGAAGTACCAGCTAGCCCCCCATTACATCGGGGGAGTCCCCCTAAGAGCGCTTATACCGTCTATATCTTGTGAGTGAAAAAGATTGCTGCGCACAGAATACTGTGTTTTATAACAATATTACACTATGTTTTGTTTGATGTTTTTTCTGTAGATTTACACAGCCATATCCCGAATCTTCTCTGTTTTGGTTTACCATATATGATATAGGTCGCTTTTTTGGGTAGCGACCTAGGGAGGCTGTTACACGTCTTTATAAGCTCAGTATTATTGCTTACTATATTATTTAATTTTTTTTCTATATCGTTTGAGATATATTTGTTACCCAAGATTATCTGACATACCATTGGCATACATTTATTTTTCTTACAGGAAGGTATGGCATATAAAGCTAAAACAAAGCCAATAAAAAGGATCCGGCTAACAAGAATTCCTAAAACAACTATTTTATTCGGAACTCGCCGTCAAGGTTTTATCCTCAATAAAAATCGTTTATCCACGGTTCTGAATAAATCTACTGTTTTGGGAATTTGTGTGTGTCAGATCCTTCTTATCGGCTTGGTTTTAACTTCTGGGATTGCTGTTCTGGTTCTGTGTACCATGGGAAGCATATTCTTGCCCAGATGGTGAGTACCATTTCTTTGTCTTTTTTGTATTTGGTATATAAAGCTGAGCACAGACTGGCATAGAGAGGCTTGGCATATACACGTTAGCTACAAAATAATACAGAAAGACACTATATATATATATATATATATATATATATATATATATATATATATATATATGGCAGGGCATGGGCTGGAATAGAGAAGTTTGGCACATACAGCTATGCACATATTGCTTTAAGGAAGCCTGGTATACACAAATGTACATACTGTTATCCGGGGGCCTGGTATATACAACGATGTACATGCTGCTATAGGTAATTCTGGTATATATTGGTATATACTTCATCCTACATCTTAAATACACAGTTGGATGCTGGTATAGCAAGCATGGTGCAGTAGTGACTAAAATCATATATATTGCTATTGGCACCCTTAATGTACAGAATGCAGACTGGCGCTAGTAGGACTGGCACAGCATCCCTGTATAAGTCAGTCTCTGTGTATTAGGATACGTTGTATCTCTGAGCAGCACCCTCCCTCGTGTGTCCCCATGAGGCTGAGTGATAGCTGTGTCGCCAGCCTGCCTGTCCCTAGTGGAGGGTCAGTCCTGGCCCCAGCCTCGCTCTCCCTATTCACAGCTTGGAATTTCCTCTCTAATTCTCCGCAGGCTTTTATTTGTGTTTAGATTTCAATCCTTATCACAAGGAGGCCTTCTCTGCCCCTGTCATGCTGTCTGCTCTCCTAGTCACCAGTAAGATTGTTACTAGTTCTGGCCACTCTCCAGTCTGTCCACACTGAAATCACAAACACAACATCCTTCTCCCCCCCCCTCCATCCTGTTACCAAAGACTTTTTCCCAAAGTAGGGCCCTGTCACTTTGTCACTTCATAGGCAGGCCCAAGCCACTTCTTAATTTAGACTTTAGCGACAATGAGTTGGTGAGACCATGATTTTTATTTTGGTCGGAACCTGACACACCCCAGGGATTTAATCCAAAATAAAAGGGTATTCCTGAGATTTATTGTAAAATTTTAGCATCTGAGCACATCCTACAATATCATTCACATATTCCTTCCTGGCTGTGATTTACCAAATGTCTTTTTTTAATGTCTACCAACTCTG